TTTTGTCTTCCTCGTCGAATTCGGCCAAAACTTTTAAAATGTTTTGACGTCATTAAAATTTTGGCAAATCCATGCATGACGTACATTTTTGTCAAAATGGTCTTTTAGATTATTAACAAGTTCTTGTTTAGGGTTGCCTCATTGTAGATCTCGTGCAAATCCCATTATATGTGATGCGTAGTCCTCCCGGCGTAATCTGCCATTACTTATATATTGACCAATATCTATTTTCCGTTTTAGACCACGTTTCACATTATCACCCTAACATCTCTCTTGAAAGCATTTTTGTAATTCTTTATGTGTGTTGACATCGCGTTCATCCAAGTACCACCATTTGTGTGCGTTTTTTTAAAGACATTGGTCTATATATAAACATTTTTCGATCATTTATATCGTACAGTTTGCGATAATTTTTGGAGTCTCTTAAAAATTTAACTGGTCGTGCATAATCCAAGCCATTGTATTTAGATAGTGGGATAAAATTTTTGGAGCCAATATTACACTTATCATTAATCTTTTTAGGTTTTTTTAAATAGATTTTATCTTGTAAGGCTTTACATTCCGCGTGATTTTCTTTAGCTAAGCCATCGAGCATTCGTAACAAACATTCGCATACTTTTTTCAAATCATCCGACTGAAGTATACTGTCTTCCAATTGGGACACACGCATTTTCAGTTTAACATCTGTAGCAGGTGATCCAGAAGCAACAATTTCTAATTTTTTGCATAATCGATAATTTTTGGTAATTAATTATTTGATCATATCTTTTTGGGTTTCATAATCAGTCCGCAATTGTCACATTGTAACGTAAATTGTATCCATCTTTTTCTTAAATGTCTCTTTTACATTTCTAAGCTCTTGGGCGAAACCAACGGGTTCATCGCCTGCTCGAATTTTAAGATTATAGTCGATGCCTTATTGTTCTTAAAATAGTAATTGTAGTTCGGCAGCTACGGCTTTTTTTCACCGCCAATTAATTTTTGTAGCATCATTAACGGTTCTTCCAAATTTTCCTCTAATTCGTCAACTATTTCCAACCACCGCTTATTTTCCCCTGCATTGTAGGTATGTAAGTTCTCGAATAAGTAAACTAACTTTGTAAAATAGCGAATTTGTTTTGTTTACTGTATGCCCATGCAATAGTGGAAAGAGACGCTCGCTAGATTATTTTATTCTGAACACTCTCAGTATTCGCTTCAGCAGAGTACCAGCAGGATAGACAAAGGGCGTTCAGAGTACGAGCCCAACTACTCAATGTCACAGACTTATTAAGACTGCCTTGCTCAGCCGCTGTTCGGTGGCTTACTCTTTGATCTAGTTCAAGCCGCCTAGTCTGCTTCTCCCGCACAATACAATTTTACTCCTTCCTCTACAGACGTTAAAGTACATGATCTGTCTTTTAATTATGTGAGTGCAGATGTATGGATATTAACAAGAAATACATAGTTCGAACGGAATATTTCGTTATAAGGTTACATATAGTTGATAAAGAATCTAATAACCGAAAATTCTTATAGGGCTGAGAAATCGTCAAAAGTACGTGGCAAGATACCCGAATTAGAAGTCGTAGTCGCCTTCGTTAACCCGAGCGAAAGGGCACAAATACTTTGGAGCAGGGGATCAAATTTTAACCTTTCGGAGTTGCTAGTGTGCTGACCAGAAGTGCACTCTCAAAAATTATGTTTCACCATTCGGAATATGCCTAGAGTTTATCACCACTACCTGGTGCGGTGATATGGACTCTATTAGAAAACACAGATTGTTTCGTTTCGCGATCTAAAGGCTACGACTATCGTCGCGAGTAGTGGTGCATGCCCTAGAGTTTACGCAGAGTGCAAGGTATGTTTTAATTCGCGACCGATCAAGAGGCTACCACTACCGTCCCGAGCAGTGGTGTATGACCTAGAATTTACGCATAAACAAGGTGTGTTTTAATTTTCGACCTATCTAGAGGATATCACTACCGTCTCGAGTAGTGGTGCACGATCTAGGGTTTACGCAGAAAACCCGCTTGTTTTTTAATTCCCGAGAAGTCTTGAGGCAACCACCACCACCATTAGTGCATACCCTAGACGTCATATTCACGTTGGAAAGGAGAGAAGTTGAAAAGCTAATAGTATTAAAACAAACTTTTACTCTGAATATTGAAGTCGTATACGCGAAGAACCAAGCTTGAGATGTCATGCAAAAATGTTGTTCAAGCAAAAATTGAACCGCACTCGTGGATAACCGAATGGTAGCAGAGGCGAACTTTTACTATCTAGTCGACCGTTCAAGGGTGAAAATTAACTACCATGTCCTCACTTCGTGGTAGACTGGGAGGTAGCAGAAGTGGACTATTGCTACTCAGTCTACCGTTCGAGGGGTGAAAATTAAGAGTGTTGGCTTTGGAGCCTGTGGACCTTTTTATAAGGAGTAGCGGACCTAGATGACGCGCTGGTTTGAGGATTACGCAGGAAAAATTGGCGGGGGAAAATCTTGAGAAAAAACAACAGCCGAAAATTTAAGTGGCTAGAGTTGCCCTAATTTAGCCACTCAGAAATTGGCTTGCTCTCCTACGTGTGTCAAGGGAAGGGAAGGTGATTCATTTATTCATGCCCTTCCTTTCTCTGTTACCTCCAAAGTGTACAGATTTTTCATCAGAACTTAATATTACTATTAAGATGAAATAGTACTATTTATTAATGCTAGACACTCTTTGTTTATTCAATTGAACTTGTCTCAAAAAAAGTAATGAAAATGGCTTAACATTTTGTTTAAATGCTTGGTTGAATAAAGGGTTGGTGCGTTGTGGTAATAGTAATAATTATTATAATAGTAGTAATGTTAAGATAGTAATAGCGATAATAGTTGCTAGATTTACCGTAGGCAACACACACACACATACTTACACGTGTATTTGTATCACTTAGGAAAATTAGTAACATGAAAGGTTAATTAAACAGTAACAGCGATGGCTGTGGTTAAAATATTTATAGTTATAGTAACAGACCCTTGTCGCGAGCCGTTGGCATTCATGAATTGTTAACCTTATTAGATTCATCGACAATTTTAATTCATTGTTTGTTGCAAATGTACTTCGAAATGTTAGTCGCATTTGTTCAACTCGTTTCTCTTTGCTACTTATTGGAGAATAAGTTGGCTCATAGTGCCCTAGGGATTCGAAAATTCCGTTGCCTGAGTTGGAGGTAGGAGTACGGACTCTTTCTCAAATTAATGGTAGGGTACCAATGTTACATCATGTTACGATTAGGAATAGCTTGCAGTTGTAATTTATGATACTTACCAAGTTGTATTTTGCTTTGTATGTTCCAGATGTTTGCAAGTTGCGAATCTTTAGTCTTATAGTGGATGCAAAATTATTTTAAAAAATTATTTCTACGGCTGTGATACTATCATATGTAGTAGGATAAAATTAGCTTTTTGATTTAGGAAATTGCTATTAGCGCGAAGAAAATTTGAATGGTAGTTAAACGGTTTCGGAACAAATCTAAATAGTATTAGACTCCAAATTGTGTCATCTAACGGCCTAAAAAAATGGTAATAGTGGCCAAAAATGGTTTTTCCCGTCTAGAAAAAAACCGGAGAGTCGGACAAAACAGTTTTATGGGTAAAAAAGATGCGCAATTTCAAGACGAAAAAAATGATCTTTGGTGGGATAAAATTGGTCCAGCCGTTTATTTGCAATTTGCAAAAAAGTGCTACGTAGGATCGTTTTATTTGAAATCTATAACTCGTGTTTCTTTAAATATTAAGTTGTGGTGGTAAAAAAGATGCGCAATTTCAAGACGAAAAAAATGATCTTCGGTGGGATAAAATTGGTCCAGCCGTTTTTTTGCAATTTGCAAAAAAGTGCTACGTAGGATCGTTTTATTTGAAATCTATAACTCGTGTTTCTTTAAATATTAAGATTTGAAAATTGGATACAAAGTATAGCTGGTGTCCCTTAACCCTTATCGGTTGTAAATTTTTTTCAAACCGCTGCAAGAAGCCAAAAATGGTCCCTCCGCAAAAAAGTTCGACGTTGCTGGTTTTACAACATATTGCCACTTTTAAAACGGAATTGTACTCGTAGAGAGTTACTCTATAACCTACCAAAACGTTGATCTGTTTGAGATTTCGGAAGTACGCGAAAAATTGATGTCAAAAACCGGCTATTTTTCGTGGATGCGGTGGCACGGCGAACCGCTCGCAAACTCTGGAGCTATGATGTGGTGAGGGGGCATAACCTACAATATGGAGTTTAAAACTATTTAGATTTTTTCTGAAACTGTTGAATTACCACCCAGATTTTTTTTCGCGCTAATAGCAATTTTCCAAAAATAACCATGCTTTTTTGCTAATTTTATCCTACTAATAGTATAAAAAGGGGATAGGGGCAAAGGAGCCAGCATTATTCTTTGTACTATTGAAAATAACGTCAGAATAATTGCTTTAAAATTTTGAGTTTCTTAATTCTAAATTTGTTTTTACAATGTTTTTTTTCAAGAGTTTCGTTCATTAAGGTGCTATGTTATTTTTTTATCCTTCTTTATAATTAAGTAAATAAAATTTTGAGTCAACAGTTCTAATAGCTATACTGTTCGGTTAATTTTATTAATGTTAAAATACATCAGTTCAGCTGTTTATGTACGGTCCTATTCAGGTACCATATTTGAGCAGCGTCACAAAAAATAACAACTGGAAACTACTATGCTCAAATTTAACTATAATATTGTATAAGCATGTAGTCAATGTTGAATTTGAGCATAGTGGTTTTAAGTTGTTATTATTTTGTGGCACTGTTCAAATATTATTACTGAAGTGGACCGTAGGTACATGGCTGAAATGTTGTATTTTAATTTTGATAACATTAACTGAGAGCATAGCTAATACAATTGTTGACTTAATACTTGATCACATCGCTGTTATTAGTATAATTTTTATGAAACAGAATTCTATAATTTGCTAATAGTACCGTAAAAAATCAAATTTTTTGTATTATAAATTTACTTTTCAGATATGTCTCGTGATTATGAAAGGAGAAAAAGAAGAAGCACTAGTATTTCAACCAAACTTAGAATGGACACAAACTCTTTACATTCAAAATCTCATGGAGAAAGTTCCGGAAAACGTAAAGAGTTTGATAATGTTATGAAAAAAGCTCGAGAGTCTCAATCAAACTATTGGAACAAAAAACTTTTAGAAGTTGAAGAAAAAGATCCCAACCGTTGGCGACATAGTGGTTACAAGGAGATGTACATAGGTAGTGCCGCTAGTGGAGATAACAGGAGTCAAATTCGTAGTCCAAAGCATCGTAGTTTTCGTCCTCGTAGCCCAAGACCTTGTAGTCCACGAAGTCCACACACTCCAAGGTCACGAAATTTAAGAAATAGATATTCCCGTAGTCCCCGAAGAAAAAGTCCCCGAGTTGTTAGTAGTACTAATACTGCTCGGCCTAGAAGTCCATTGCTGAAAAGATCGTACTCTCCACGGTCTCGAAGTCCTAAAATACGAAAATCTAATTCGCCACGACTTAAAAGCCCTAGAATTATTCATGATCGATCTCACAATACCCATGTTAGACGAGCTAAAAGTCCGAGTTCTGGAAGCTCATGCTCAGATCGATCGTGCTCAGTCTGTTCTCCTAAGGAACGACGGAGGCAATCAAATATATTACGTTCTCGATCAAGATCAACTTCATCTGTGCTACCAAGATCTCATATGAAGGATGTCACTCCAAATGCAAAAATTATTTCATCTAAAGCCGATATTACAAACTCTTTGTCTGCACGAAGTCCTGCTTTAAAAGAAGCCATATTGCATCAAACAAAAGATTTAAGAATAGGAAAAAGAGATAAACATCGACGTAAACTTACTAATGATCCTCGGATACCGGAACCTATACATATGGTAAAAAAATAATTATACTTCAGAAATATCTTCATACAAACTTAATTATTAAATTTTTCATTGCCTTTTTTGGAAAAAATTAGATACTTTAAACCTCTTTTAAATATTAGCAATGAGAGGTCTATTCTCAGGTAGTGAAGTTATAAAGCTGTGGTACTTCTAATGCTTAATTATAGTTGCAATTACCAGAAGGAAGGGTCTGAAACAATAGTGATACACACTTTCTTATAGCAACTCTACGAAAAAATATTCTAGCATGTGTAAGGTCAATGAAACTGCAAAACAGTGATGATGAATGCATTAATATGTCAGAATGTAGATGTCAAGAAGTACCTTTTTAATGAGCTTTTTTTAAAGCTAGTATCGTTACTGTAACACATGACTAATACATGTACGTTTTACTTACATTTTATCGACATTTTAGTAAGTTATTCAAGTTGTAATGTACATTTGCAAAAAAAAAATTTCTGACAGAAATTGATTTTTTTGACGTCTACATTTTGTTCGAGATATTAGTTGTCCCCAAAGTTGTATCTGCTACGCAGTGTTGTTAATTTGAGCGCCAAATTACATAATTCGTGGCTTTGGTACAAAATTAAAATGTTTTGTGGATATGTTAAATCAGCTTCGCCCATTTCACTTTATGTAGTATGTTTGTCTTCCCTATATTATAGTTTTTTTCTGTTTTTCTTTTTTCTTTCTTCCCGATCATCGTGATAGCCTACAGACCTAGCCGTCTGAGCCATCTACTCACCACCTTTGTCTGGGTGTGTATTACTGCACTCATTACGATCACTTAATTGATATCTCAGTTATTATATGCCATTGGTACTGTAGACATTTTTTTGACGAGATTTGATACCGTACAGTCATATTTTGCCAGTTAAGCTGGCACTCTGCTACAATAGGACATCGGATCCACTCGTCACAATGTAACTTTTTCCAGAGAAAGCGACATATCGTCCACACCTTGCCGGTTGAGCTGGCACTCTCTGCGACAGCATCGGTCGCAAGCTTATTAGCATCCCCAGACGAGTCCCAATTTTCATTCACTGGGAATCACACCCTTAACTTCTAGAACAGTGTTGTTTCAATACCAAGCACGCTTACCACTGAGCCAACACTGCTCTGCCAGTATTATATAGTTGTACGGACAAAAATAAATAGTAGCTCCCCTCTGCTGTATATTAGCTTTTCCTCCTATCAAATACTTATTTGCTTATTTTTAAGTAATTTTTAATCGAGCTACATTTGAATTAGCTCTCCCCACAATCCCACAACTCGTCCTCCATCTCTCTTCTTCTCTCTTATTCTACTTCGCAATCTACATTCATCTCAAATGGCGTAATTATTCAATCATTTTTATGTGTTTTAGCTCAATTACATATTGGCAATCTCTTCTTCATGCATCTCTATTTTTTTCAGAGATTTATTATTGTATACTCAGTTACTATTTATTTATATCCCTTAATTCTTCTTAGTCCCAACTTTACCAGCTAGTATTTTATCTTTAAGAAAATATCTTTTTTTACACCTAATTCTTAAAAAAACTATACTATAAATATAAAATTTAGTACCCAAAAATTTTTATGTTTTTGACAAATATACTTTTTGTAAAATTAAAATTTTTACTCATTTCTAAGTAACTTATGACAATTATCAATATTTAATGTATGACAAATGTACATAAGTAGATAACTATTGAATACATTTGTAAAAATAAAAATACTTCTCTTTCTAATAGTATTTTTACCATGGTTATAATCATTATTGTTACCCTGTTGATCATACTTTTAAAATCCTACAATTTTTAGAAACTATTAATTTTTTGAGGATTTGATGAAATATAAAAAACGATATAATGTAATTTACAAAACAAAAAAGCTTATCAAACAAGAATTAATCCTGTGTACATCTTGAGAATAAGCAAAAATTGAAATTTGTCAAATGGTAGACACCCTTGACAGCTTGGGTTGATTTGAATAAAATTGATGATTTTGCAAAATCATAGAAGTATGTGGATGTTTCTGAAAATTACTTTTTTCGTATATTATCAATATTTAATAAGAAAAAAAAAACGTAAAAGAATATATGTCTAAAGGGCTTAGAAAAAATCTCTCACAGTACAACTTCATTTGAATAGGATAATATTTCATGTCAATGCATATGGATGTGGCTTAATTCTAGAAATCACCTTGGTAACGAATGATACAATTGTTAAAAATAAGACGCAACAAAAATGTGATAATTTATTCATAGAACCTTTTATGAATCAATGAATAATGATAAAAGATGAAAACTTTGAAATAATTTATAAAAATTGAATAAATAATACGTATTTATGTATTCAAAAATAAAAATGAAAATTAAATAAATATTCGGTAGTATAAAAATAGCTGCTAGAAAAAAGGTTTGTAAAAAAAAAGTCATTCAATCGAAATAAGTACTTTGATAAATAATTGATATAGTTTATAATGTAACCAAATTAGTTAGAAACAGTATATGAATATTTAAATGAAAAATAACTTGCGGACGCTACTATAAAAAGATGTAAGAGGACTCCTTATGTATACGATACTTATCTAGTATGTAAAAGGTTGCCAGTTTGAATCTGAAGAATTAGAATCAAAATTTACCTTCTTTACATATAATGGCGTATTGGGATATGGCAAGGAGGGAGAGTAAAATGAAAAATTTACTACCGTTGCATATTTTCTAAATGTCAAAATTCTGAAACCATTGATTTACTCTAGTACAGAACACGCTTTTGGAAGTATAGTTTAAAAACTGGGTATTTATTGTATAAAGTTAAAATAAAATTTTTTATTAAGTAATTATTGTCATTATAAAATATTGTTGAAGAAACATTGTTGGTTCAATTGTTAATAATAAAATTTAAAGCGCATTTAATAACTATGTGATTTTTGTAGTAATTAAAGGTGATTCTCTCCCCTCCCCGTCTCTGAGCCTCTGCACAATCTGCTCCTTTTTGGTAAAGCTTAGGTAACCTTGGCTTCCCCACATCCTGCACAGTTTTCCGTCCACAGCCTTTCTACTACTCTCCCACAGTATCACGATTATAGTATAACGCATAAAATTTATAACAAAACTATTTGACTAATTAATACAAATATTTCGGACGTGGTCATATTAACCGTCATATTGTTTTTATAGGCATTAAATAATATGATGCAAATCAGTGCCATATGTTAGCGCAAGTCATTTAGCTTACTGATAATGCATAACGTGGAGGAGACTTGCTATGCATTCCATGTTATGTGTGTTGTTTAAGGTAGTTATAATAAAAACTAGTGGCCCCTTCATCCTTGATTCACCCGAGACTTACTAAATGGAACACCGTCGTGTGTTGATATGTAGTGTCAAACGTTTTCAGTTAAAATTTTTACATCCATTCTTAACATTCTTTGAAATTAAAAAATTCGAATTCGCCAATTTATTTCAAATATAAATTCATTTAGGATTATTACACATAGATGAAGCAATATATAATGATCTATGAGGAAACAAAAATCTTCTTAAATATAAATCTAATTTACAAAACTTAGACCTTTTGACTTGCTTATAGTCACAGAAAACTTCACCTAGTTAGGTAATCGTTTTGTGTATAATATAGTAGGTAAAGATGATCAAGATTATGAATTTGATGTTATTCTGCAAAAAAAAACATTATTTTTCTCATTTGTTACCAGTAATTGGCCTTAATGATTATGTTTAAGTTTTTGGTGTCAAAACGTCAAAATTAAGAAAAATCAACTCTTTTTGTTAGTTATAACATTACATACTTTGCTTGTTACTAACATAAAATACAGTGTTTTTACTGAAGCGAAATCTCGATAAACAGACCTTTAAGTTTGTAATAACATTTCGCTTTAAAAAATTAACAAAAGACTAACAATTATTTTGCTATTTTACACATATATTTTTTATGCAACTAAATATCTATATTTTGTTATGTTCGAATTAACATGAAATTTTTTTTACTTTGATCGAAAGGTTTTTCGGTATAAAATTTTTTTTTCGCCTTTTCTTGCCATTAACGTATTATACCAATAAACAATGAGTTCGCGAAAGTATCTTTATTTAGGATATTTGATGAGGAAGAAATTGGTGGTCAAAAAAAGTGTCTTAGAGCTATAAAAGCGGAGATATAAGCAAAAGACTCAATAAAAAATTGCATTTTTTCATAAATTATTAAACAAATAAATAATTGTTCTTGCATATCGACCACGACAACCTATCTTGCGTGTACAGCACGATGACTGTGTGCTGAACCCAAGTCTTTCATGTACTTATCGTATGACATGTAACCATCGTTAAAAGACAAAAACATGACACGATTATCGCAGGTCCGAACGCAAGGCATCATATGGTAATAGCGCATTGCCTCCAGCAACTGGCCAATCGCAAGGTGGCTGTGGTTGGCGGACCATGGCCTCTCTTGCATTTGGCATTGAGGAATTGGTAGGGAAGATGGGGAGAAGATATGAACATTTCTCTGCTTATCTATCTTACTATAGTACTCCTATAGACAGGCTGACTCTAGTACTATTTCAAGTTTATTTGTGCCTTCCTTATGTGCCCGATCCACGTACAAAGCTTATCTTATACCTTTTCCCACTGAAATTCGTTAGTTTTTTTAAGTGAAACTTCTTTAGGCACGCCCTATATGGGGAGCTAACCCGTGAAATGAGCGAATGAGCGAACACTGCCGTGCTCAAATATTATCTATATATATTGCCAGCTCTGATTGCAGTGCAGAGTAACTGTTTGTCTGTCTCTCTTTCTTTCCCTTCCTCTCACATGCACACAATAGTGCGCCGCAGTTACTCTATACATGTATACGCAGCCTTTCGCTATAGTTTTTTTTTTTTTTTTTTATATTATAGTGCTCTACGTCTGACTCCTTTAATAAGGNACTTTTTTTTTAAATTATAGTGCTCTACGTCTGACTCCTTCAATAAGGGCACTGCTGTGGACAC